CTTAATATAATTATTATAACTATTAAGTTCTAAAACTAATTTAATATCCATAGGACCACAACATTAAAATTATATACGAACCAGTAATAGTTCATTAAAAAGTATATAAATCAAGAATTTTTCAACAATAATATATCCAATTAGTTTTAAGTACATTAAAAGTAGTAATAAAATATGATCAACAATCAATACATCTTCAAAACTTCTCAATTTGCTCGTACTAAGATATGATCTTCTAAATCTTTTGACATAGTTTTGAATAATTAATATTTCTTATATATATTAATATATTTTGATACATAAGTATAAAGTATTAGTATTTTGATATATTATATATAATTATATATATATATATATATATATATGTAAATTAAAGGATTAAACCTATATCGGGTTCAAACCTAATAAGGGCCAAAATTGGCTCACATTTATTTTGAGCCTAATGTTTAGGACCAAACTTAGGCTCATCGAACTTTTTTTAAGGCTCGAACTGGTCAAGTCCTACCAAATAGGGCTGTATGGGTTTTGAATCATTCAGTCTATACACCTCTAACGGGTTGGATTAGAAAAGTTGATGAAAAGAATGCTTCTAGTTCTAATTTCTATCAAAAGAATTTTGTTTAACTGACTGATCCAGATCTGCATTGCCTTCAGAGCTCAAAAAATGATTTGATCTTTGACAGCTGAAGATTTATTAATCCGGGTTCTGTTTGGATGTCAATTATTTGGCAAGAAATTATTCAAAGATTTTCAATACACAACTAATCTTTTTTATTTCATTAATTATCTTTTTGTTTCACATACATTACATTACAATAATTCTTATAATAAATAAATCTTTAACTTAAACAGTAGCCTCAAAACACAAAACAAAATAGAGAACAAAAGCATTCACTTTACAGTAGCACCTGGTTTATAGCGTTGCTAATCAATTAATGGAGGTTATATTTGATTGCCCTATAAACTACTGCATTTTTTTCAAAAAAAAAAAAAAAAGTCTAGTATCCCAATAAATTGAACTTGCTAGGAAATTTAACGTGGTGCAGCATCACAAATGTTTTCTCCTTGGGTAAAAAATGGTCATGACAAAACGGCACGGGCAACTTTAAAGAGTAACGAAAGAATTTTCTTTTTTTTTTTTTTTTAGGATTGATAGAGACTGAATCACCATCGAACCAGACAGATGTACTACACGCCCGTCTGAATTCTTTTAAAAAGCCACATATTGTACCAATTGGTAAGAGATAAGGGTTGTACCCTTAACCTCCCACCCTACTAAACCTTAAGGACTTGGTGGTCGCCACCATCCCAGAGACCGGTGGTTAAAGAGTAACAGTAGAATGGGTAAGTTGATAATTGAATTTTGGTATATGACGAGATACAGATTGGACCAATAAATATTTTTGTGAATTCTCCGTGTCTAGTTCAAATTATTAGTGAAGAATCGTCCTGAAAAGTGTACAAACTAGTAGTACAACAAGCTTTTAGGGACCCATGGTTGGGGATCATGTGAGAGAATTTCAACTGGCCAAAAGTAGCAGCTTTTGATTGAGAACTGATTCAAGGGGTCTCTTGGTCCATGGTTTGAACAATAGGATTCAGAAAAGATAAGGTCAAAATCTAGTCCATTGAAATCAAAAGCTAGTCAAAAAAAGCCTGGAAATATTGGCCTGGGACTTAGCTCAGTTTTCTTGGCTTACGTAAAAATCTTTGACATTCTACTTGGAAGACTGTAAAGGGAGGATATATGGAGCTACAATTGTGGATTCGAATTCCCTGAGCCATTTACAGCTTATTCAACTCAAACTTGCTCCTTTCTTCAACTCCTTTCTTCAACAAGTCTTCTACAACTCTATTCAATCTCCAAATCTATTCGACACCACGGAATCCTTCCTATGCGGATCAAGATCCAGAACTTCTTACCTGTATATATGCTCTTATTCTTACATATTGCCTAGACAGCTAGCCAGATATCGTCCAGCGCAAAATTCCTAATAAAGTCGGGAGAGAATTTTCATAAAAACTCCGATTGATCGCTAGATTTGGCAAAATCCACCAACTAATGTGCGGACCTTATTAGCTTCTTTCGGAACCCATGAACAAGTTATTATGGGAGTCATATAGCACAGGACCAGGTTATTGTGGCTGCTAAGGTCCTGTTTCATAACCCAATTCAACACTTAAATTTAACATATTCAGACCGTTTGATAATCAAAAATTGAACATTTGAATTAATTAAGTATCAGTAAATTATGTAGGTAAAACTTGCTCCTAAAATTAAGTGATAAACTATTCATTTCTCATTGAACGTAACATGCACTCAAATGCATTAGATTTAATGTTTAACAGTTCAATAACTTAATAGATTCAAACTTCAGATTTCAAATTTCAGACTTCAATTTTTAATATTTCAATTTTATCAAACGCGTCATAAAACTACAATTTGCATGGAACTTGAGGCTGTGACAACGTGGATTGACCCTAATTAGGTCAAATTAGATTAGCCGATTTAGTTTAATATTTTGAAAATTAAAAATTAGTGACCCAATTCAAGATGAGTTGACTTGGCCCAATTGGGGCGCTTAGTTGAACTGCACACAACACCAGACATCTAGCTGTAAATGGATTGGGTTTGGGCCAAAACTAAGTAATTCCATACCCGAATTCAACAAGTAATAGTTTGCAAACTAGTTTTTGTTGGATATGGATTCGGGCTAGATATATTTAATTTGTAAAAATCGATTCAACATAACAATTTTTTAATGTTTCTATATTCTATTTTTACACAAAATTTATTAATAAAATGGTAACAGTATGATGAGAAAAGTCCAATGATTGCTTGATTCATAGGGGGAGAAAAAAAAAAGGACATCTTTTTTTCCCAAGAGAAAAAATGTGGATCAGAAACAAATTATAACGAATATGCATTATTTACAGATTTATATACTTATATTAATCGAATCTAATGCTCAAAACGGGTCAGAATATAGAAATTCATATCCAGCCCGTTTAGAATGGCTCCAGGTCAAATCCGGATAAAGAGGTCTATAAGAAATTTTGGATCCGGGTCCAACTGATTGACTTGGTCCGGACCCAACGTGAAGTTGAAACTGATTCCAATTTGGTCGTATCACCACACACACAATTGGCACGTTACAAGACTTCAATTTTTTCTATATTAATTCCTTTTTTTTTTCCTGAAACAAGAGAAAATATTTAATAACCTTTACATGATTTAGGGCCTAAGGGGTACTGTAGTTATGTGCTGATACCTATGGGGCACTTTTCATTTTTACTAAGCAATCAAATAAAAATGGAGTGGCCAATTAATAGAAATAATGTTGTTGTCATATGTTGTTGAGGAGTTCCCATGCTCAAAAATTTTTTGGTTTGTGGGCAAACTAGTCGACAAGATTACCAAATTAACTTCATTTTTCACACGAGCTAATTAGAAATCGTCTGGCACAATTTGTTGGTTTGTGTGGACAAAACTAGTCGATAAGATTACAAAAATTAGCTTCATTTTTCACACGAGTTAATTAGAAATCGTCAAGCACAATTTGTTTAACAAAATCAGGGAGAGAATTTCGTAGAGCAAATTAGAAGCTTGACAGGCTGAGAAGAGGTAAAAAAAATATATATTGTAAGAATTTGAGAGGGAATCAAACCATTAAAATAATAGATCCAAGAAAACCCAAAATATATATATATATATATATATATATATATATATATATATGACGTACAAATGACTAAAACAAGGCTGCAAAACGTAAATTACATCTCAAATAGTATGACTTTGGTTGGTGGCCTAAGACTGGTAATGGTGGCTGCTGCTGCAATAGTTTTTTAATCTTCCTTAATAAGAGGGGAATTGAAATTGATTACGAAGTACCATGTAGTTTGTTAATTGCTGTTCTTATCCCCCGAGAAGCTTAGTACACAGTAATTTAAAAAAAAAAAAAATCCAAGCAATGCAAAGTAGGTAGATACACAGCCAGATATGTCTGGTGGCTTATACATATGTCCAAGAACCACTAATTCTGTGACCTCAATAAATTAATCAGATTCTGACCTCAAATTTCACACCATTAAGAATTTTTTGCTTACAATAGTACTAAACACAAACCATTTCCAGATTGAAAATAAATCTGCTGCTTTTGGTTGTCTTCTCATTGAATTCGGATTCATTCATATCTATGGAAATAGAGATTCATTTGAGAATCAAATTCGAATTCTAAAAGGGAACCAAACACAAGAAGAAATTCCTTGTTTTGATTGCATTTTTTGTGGAAAAACTTTCTTTTCGGGTTTCTGACCGAATATTTCTTATCACATTTTTCAATCACTTTTTAATTTCATATACATCACATCTTCATACTTTTATACCCAAAAAAAACCCTCAAAAAATTAAAATCCAAACGGACGTAGGAAAATACATTTTGAATCGTTCCCTAATCACCGTTTTACAGCTAACTCGTTAATTTTTATCTTTCTGCCCACACTTTTATTTCACATACATTATATTATAGAAAATGTTTCACTAAATAATATTCCACTAAAATATGAGGCACCACACAATGACAATACAAAGGATTGTATTTGCACATGAGAAAATTTTTGTGATCATCAATCACTGCAGGCACAACATCTCCTCACCTTCCCTTCTATAATGACAATTAACCAACTAAACAAATACTGGAAATACAAGAAAGTTCTAACGACTTGGACAAAAGCCAATGATAAAGGGGGCAGCTAACGAACAATAGGTAGAGCGTCGCTATCCAATACTGTCAACTTCATTATTGAGTTGTCGATTAGACTGCATCATTTTCCTGAAAATAACGGTACATCTAATTGAAAATTCAGCAAAACATCCCAGTCCAACGTTAAAACTTCAAGAAACTTTATGATATCTCGTAAACTCTTGCAAGTAAGCCTCCAAAAGTTCAAAAAGGAAACAAATAAAAACAGAAGTCAGAAGAATGAAAGAACAAGAAAGTGCCAACAGTAACAATTTAATGCATAGATTGTCAAGGCCGATTAGATAAATCACATACTGAAGGACTGTGAACTAGCACAGATCAAAGTTCAACAGCAGAACAAAGCTCCTATAAACAAAAATTAAATTAACTGCAAACCCACAAAGCCTATTACATCATTGAGAACAATGTATCTTACACATCATAGCAGGAAGCAATTTTCACCACTAAGTGAGACAAAGCAAACAGGCCTCCATGTGGTCTGTATCCTCATCATGCAGCAAGAAAATGGGGAAAACCCAGCCACAAGTCGATGCAGGAAACGACAGGCAAAACTCACAGCATGCAGTCTGTTCTAGCAGGTAACCTCCTAAAGAAATTCAACGGCACTGATGGAAGTTTGTAACGGAATCTTGGATGTCTTAAAACATAAAATCCAGTAAGAAGGGCCACTACTTGAAACGGTGTGACGTAAAGCACGATAGCAGCAACCAGACAAAAAATCACAAATAGAGCTGTGGCTCTTGGGTCTCTCCAGCTCAGCAGCGATTGGAGCCTTTCTCCTTGAGTAGCCAAGTCACCAACCACAGTCTGAATCCTTCCTGCAATACTTCTCAACCTATCATACCTCATCCTGACAATGTCAGCAGGCCGTGATGTTGGAAACGAGTCAAACTCCTCATCCAGTTCATCCGGATGAGCATTATCGGCACAGGACAATCGAGTATCCATGTGAGGTGGATTCCTTGGCCTCCATCTGTAGTACCAAACTCCAATCAAGAAAAGGTACAAGAAAATGGTTGGTAGAATAAGCTCCGGGTACAAGACCAGTATTAAGAACAGAATATGAATTAGAACAGTGGTAATGGGGTTCTTCCAATTGCAGATCTGGTCAAACCATTTACCAACAGCAATTAATCCACCTAGAACCCCCATTATTCTGAAAAAGTTAGCCTTGCTTCTCCTCATACTCCACATGTGGGAACCAACATCCAACATATACTCGACTACCTCCTTCCTTAAAGGAGGCTCAGCACGACTAAGTCTCATCGAGACAATTTGTGTGGCCTGGTGCCTCAAGATGTCAAGCTGACTGACAGTTAGTGGATAAATATAATGCATTTTCGGCAACAGAGGTTGTGAGTACAAATGCATCATATTCAGCAATGATGAGCATGTAAATCTCACGGCCAGGTGTATTTCACCCATCTTCTTCACACCAGAAGGATTCAAAACCAGAAGTGGATAAACATGTGTGTAAACACGCTCTGTTTCCAGTGTAGAAAGACGAATTCTGACCTTTCCAATCCTCAAGTCCCTTGTACCTCCAGATTTATCACCTCCTTGCAGATGACAGTTATCAAACACACCAATAGTAATAACCGTGCAAGGGTCATATACCTCCCAAGTGTACTGTTCATTCCATCTGGGAGTAAAGTTATCGATAATTGTCCTTGTCCGCACCCACTTCTGCCCATATTTGGCCACGCAGTAAGCATCAGTTGTTGCCCGCCCATCCTTTGTCTTCATAGGTGATAGCCCCTGAGCATTCAAGATACCCAATTCTAAAACCCCAATGGTTGACTTCCACAACTGTTTCGCTGTTGGTCTAAGATCACTACTGTAGTGGGTCGATTCATCTAAAACATGGTAACCACCTTCCAGACAGATCCTCGTGTGAATCCGGCTGGCAAACTTTATTTCTCTCTTCTTTTCCCCCTCAACAACAGTCACATACTTTTCAAGATTATACCACCTAGAATTTATTGGTTTGTGATCCAACCTCCTCTCCAACTGGTGCAGAGGAATAGCACACCTGCCAAGAACTTCATCTTTATTAGGTGCAACTCTATCTTCCACACTCAAAATTAATGGCTCCTCAAAGGGCTCCGCAGCTACAAACATAAGATCCTCGTTCCACATTGGGTTAATTGTCTTAGACATGGATACTCTGGTCTTCAGAGCTTGATGCCCAAGCATGACCTTCACAAAGACTTCAGGAAACCTGCTCTTATCACTCGGTATTAAATCCTGTGCTTCAATCACATTAACTCGCAGGTACCAAAGCTTTGGTGACAAATACACCTTTGACCTAATGTTTGCGAGGCCCTCAGCACCACTAACAGCCGCAGCATCTGAATGCCAGGCTTCAGGAAATGCTTCATCAGCCTGAGTACCCATCCAGACAGCCAACATCAGCTCTCCTTTAACCTTGTTTGCTTGCCTATCCTCCAATCTATACCACTGCGGTGCCAGAGGACTATCAGGAGGAACTCTCTTTGGAACCTCATTCAAGTCAAACATAACTCTGCCTATAAAATCATCCTTCACAAAATCCTTATCTTTCACAGTAACCTCAAGATTAGAAGATTGAAGCCGATCCTTTGAAAAAGCAAACACCTGATTCCATTCAGGATTTGTCTTTTTCTCAAAATGTCGTGTCGTGCCCCTATAGTTCCCAAGCTTAACCTCAACGTAAGGGTCACAACTCCCAGTAACATCCTTCGCAGGTAAATCTCTCGCCTTTACCACCCTAACGTAAAGGTACTGCATTTGCTCAACAAGGTCATGAGTGCTAGTAAGCTTATCTCCAGTTATTTTCACTCCACCAAGGTGGGGTTTGGTCTCCTTAAGTTGAAAATCTTCCTGTGGAGGCCTCTGCATTTTTGCTGATTTTTCTTTGTTTTACCTTAGATAAATCAACGTACAAAGAAACCCTTTTCAGATCTCACCACAAAATTTAATTAGCCGTTACTGGTGAAACGGAAAAAACTTTGACCTGGATTAGATATGGAGGTATATTTAAAGCCAAACAGAGACTTAAATACTGTAATAAGAATGCTGATGCATGGGAGGAGAAAGAAAGACGGGGGAACATAAAACGACAACAATTTGAACCTGAAACGCAAAGCTTAAAACTAGGCCCTTAGATCTCCGTTATAAGAAAATGGGAAAGAACCACGGTAACAAAATTTAGCTAAACCTCAGAACCTTCACTCAGTGCCTCAGATCTAATGCCTCAAACCTGCATAGCAACAAAAATGATAACCAAACTAGCAAGGATGTAGCTGTTAACCACAGATACGAAAACAAAATTTATTTTTTTAAAAAAAAAAACCAACTCAAGAATATAGAAAGCAATCTAACAACAGCATTTGACATAGAAAGATCAAAGCTTTCAACAACCAATTTATTTTTAATGAAACTCCGTGAAATAAAAACCCAAAAACATATTCAAGATCCAAAAAAAAAAAAAGTAAATGCAATTTCAAGGTAAAAAAAAGCCACACATTCAAGGGTTCAAGAAAACCCAGAAATTTTTACACCCTAAAATGTGGTTGAATACTTAATCCAATAGATTCGAGGTTGCATTTTCTTTTAGTATGTGATGTGTATGAAGTGCGATAAGATAAACAAGGATAAAAAGAGGGTGATTAGGTGAATATACCTGGAGGGCTCTGGGAAGCTGGAGAAGATAGTGGTGGCGGTATTGTTGATAAGGTTCTATGCAAGAAAGAAAGAAAGATTAAGGAAACAAAACCAGGGAAGAAAAAGAGGTGGATTTTGGTGATTTTTGAAGATGGATGGACGGATGGATGGATCAAGGTGAAACCAACCAAGAGACAAAAACCAGTCCCAGCAGCTGATAGTTGGGTCTATAACCTAGATAGAGAAAAAGTGAAGCCACTGCCACGAAACAGTCATGTGTCTGTGTTAAGTATGCTGTTGTCCTCTTCCTTGGTTTAGGAGCGTATAGTAGTAGTTCTTGCGAGAAGAGAAGAAGATTAAAAGAAGGGGTACTGAGAATTTTCCTCTTTGTTTTAGTGTGTGTTTTTGTGTTGTGTGCGTAGTCAGATGAATCTCTTGAACAGATATACACTGAACCCACTGCTTTGTTAGTGCGTGTACTGTGTGAGAATTTAGTATGGATATACATGTCCGGTACTTTCCTTCACTTTGTTCGTTTAGTCTTATTCGCCCACTAAAGTTTTTTCGTCTTGAAATCTTACCCCTGAAGTGTCAAATTAAGTTTAATTTAATCTTTCTTATGTTAGTTTAGATAATAATTTAAAATACAAATCACGAGACGCGCCTCATGATCTTATGTTTTCTCTCTTCTATCCCTAAGCCAATTCTTCTCTTACTATCTTTGCTCTGCGTCCTGTTAACCATAATCATATAAAAAAATTATACTTTATTTTACGTCACATTATTATTTGCTAATACTCTCCTACTTTTAATACATTGATGTGTGTCTTTTAATGCATTGATTTTTTAATTTTTTTTGTTAGTTCAATATTTATTAATTTACTCCTACAACTTAATAAAAGAATGCATCCAAAGTGGTCGAGAGGAACTTAATTAAAGGAATTAAAAGACCTCCATGATAGAAGAGTGCGTTCGAGCACAGTTTAGATTAACTACACATTGAGGAATTCGATCCTCTAATATGAAACCCAACACGAACTTAAAGCTGTTGCGGGGGCCAACCCACTTAAAACAAGTTGATTATCTCTAATTTTCAAACATTTGATTCCTTTTGATCCATTTATCTATAGTGCTAATAAATTATGAATTGCATTTAAATATATGTGAGGTAAAACTTTCTTGTATTTAGATTGGATGATGATGATAAATGGAAGCTTCTAACTCTCTATCGTACCAATTAGCAAAAAAAAATGCACAATAAAATTGCATTTACTCTCTGCATGGAAGAACATAAATAGGACTGGGGTGATACTAATGTGTTGCAATAGAAAACATTAAGGGATTAGATTAAAACTATAATAAAGATGAGGGGGCTAATGGTTAAATTCACCCATTTTTAGGACAAGAGGAGCCTAGAGTATTATCTTGACTAAAATGACCAGAGCGAAGAACTTGGGTCGGAACACGGAACCCAAGCACGTGCGAGGGCCGCGGTTATCGGTGTTTTTGGAGTGTCTCTCTCGCTTTTGCTTTTTCCTATTAAGCTCGACCGCTTTTGGAATATCAATGCCCCCACTTAAAGTTTTGTGAAATATGACTTGTGCCCATCACCGTTTCCACTTTTCACACCCAAGCAAATGTAGCACAAAGAGAAAAAGAGAAGAAAAAAAAAAAGCCCACAACAGCGATGGAATAATCAGAACTGCAAAGGGAACTAACAGAGAAAAAGAAAGAAAATAATTGGTGGGCTTTTAGCCTAAGCCAATTTACAAGGAGTTTGAAGCACGAAAGTGATGAATAGGAAGAAAATTTGTATTGTAGCATCAAATCTTGGCAGCCCTTTTTTTCATCCCCTTTAGGAATATATGATGGCATGATGGTGTCACAATTACGAAGAGTAGTTGTAATTTTGATGCTATTCTAGTTCACAAACATGCAATGGACTAGTGAGTGACGCATAAAAGTTGATTAATTGAATATAGGTTCACCCATTTTAATGCCTTTTGTACTAATAAAGTAGTACATATTTAGGTGGAGCAAGTCAACATTTTAAAATAATATATTTTATGCTAAATATTATAAATTAGAATAGAATTGTCATTTGATACATATGCTTTAATTTGTTTGAAAAAAAAATAAAGTACAGAAGAAAACCAACCCACGTTTCCCTAATGTTCATCTCGAACCTTTCTCAATAATTGTGTTTTCTTGTTGAAGCATTAGCGTACTTTATATGAGTTTAATCCATGATGAAATTTCGAGAATAATAAAAGAAATAAACAGTCTCGTAAACGATACGATTTTAAATTTATGTTTCAACGATAATTTGATGATCACAGATGAACATGTAAAACGACAATATATATAATAGAAAAATAAAATAACACAAAAAGAAAACTAGGAAAACAAATAGACCCTTGATGTGGAAATTGCTTCCCTATTAAGGAGGAGGCAGTGGAACGAGACTGAGGTGTAACTAACAATTATAGAAACTCCGTGGGGGTATTATAGTATTATATGGAATGTGAAATTTTTTCTTCGAAAAAAAGAATGTCCTCTTTTGCATCGTATTCTCTGCCATGGACAACCTGCAAATGCAAATCCTCTACTTTATTTTAATTGGACTTCAGCCCACATTCACCGCAATCCAATTGGGTGTACGAACCAAACAATGCTCTCAAGCCGATTAGTCGCCACGTAGCCCTCCGACACCTGTGCTGTGACACTTGGATATGAGACCCTTGTGAGAATAGGGAATCACCTTAAACCGGACAAAAGTGCCTCAAGATAGTGTCCTTTTACATGTTGGTAGGTGTCCGTCCAATAGTTCACGCCAAAAATTGTAGGGACTGTTAAAGAGCATGTTTGGAAAGCAAGTTATTCGGGCAAATTTATCTTGTATTATAAACATATTTTTAAATTATATATATTATCTTTAAAAAATTATAATTTTTTTAAAAAAATTATCTCAAATAATCTACTATCCAAATACATTAAATTAGAAGTAAAGTGACAATTGGAACGTATAATGTAGGTACTTAAATTACAAATATACAGTCCGTTTGAATTGACCATTTTTTCAAAAACTATGCTCTGTTTGGATTAGCTGTTTTTTGGGATATTTTTGAAAAATTTTATTATAATATTGTATATGAAATTTTTTTTTGAAAATTTTGAAATATTGTATGGATGAGATGTTTTTTGAATTATTGTTTATTACTGTAGCGTTGTATTTGAAAAGTTTGTTTTTTAAAATGGCCAATTCAAACAGAGCCTAAATTTTTCAAATACAATGTTACAGTAATACACAATAACTCAAAAAAACATCCCATCCATACAATATATCAAATATTTCAAAAAATATATTCATACAATATATCAAATATTTTAAAAAATATTTAATAAAAGTTTTTTATATATACCACTATAGTAAAATTTTTCAAGAACACCCCAGAAAATAGTTCATCCAAACGGAGTCTATGGGATGGTACGTAAATTGTTGGACCCATGGGACGGTACGTAAATCGTTCATGTTCTTTAGTTCAGCTTTTAATTTAGTTGGACCCCAGCTGAACATTGGACAGGATCTGGCATTCTGGGGCTGTCTGCCCACGCTCTACAACTGAACGCAGTCAAGGATCCAAAGCAAATGCAGTTGCGTGCCAAATCGAACGACGCCGTCTGCAGGATCCAAGCTTTCTTTCTCTTCATAGATATTAGACACTAGAAAATGGAAATTGGCAGGTAATTCGTTGCATTGCAGGATTGTGTTTTACTCTAATTTTGATGCGTTGTGGCAAATCGCTGCCCCTGCCAAACAAGACCAAACTTCAGTTCTTCACGTTCTCAAACATCTTCCCTCATCTTGGCTTTCATTTTGTCTGTGTTTTTCGAATTCTTGTCTCTTCTTCCTTGAGTTATAATAGTAGTCAAAAGGTTGTGGGAGGGGTGTGAGCCTAATTTTTTATACATCCCTGACTGAGTCAGTGACTCTTGTTGATCAAATATTAGCCAAAAGTCTAACTGCCTTGTTTTGCTACATGGGATCTTGTCCAGCATCAATGCCCTCATCAGGCATTCATTTTTAAGTGGAGGCTGGTTTAAGCTGTCAACCACAGCTCCAGAATCAAATCATACAAGAACTTTTCAGCATCAACCTTTCAATTGCCATTTATAGAACTTTGCGCAATGCACCAATTTCAGCTGTGATACGAGAAAAGCTGACCAATGTTTCATTTCAAAAGCAGCTAAGATATTAGATATTTGGCTGGGAACATATCTTAACAAACCTCCAACAACAGCATATCCTCCACCCATGTTTTTAAACCTAGACCGTTAATTGAATGGGATGTTCAATTGGTTCAATCTCATTCAAAGGTTTTTCTTTCTTTATTCTTTTATAATTAAGGGTGCATTTGATAAAATTGAAGCCTGAAAACTAAAGTTTGAAATATGAAATCTGAATTCATTAAAATATTGAATTGTTAAGTATTATATCTAATATATTTGAGCGCATATAACATTCAGTGACAAGTGAATAGTTTATCACTTAATTTTTGGAGCAAATTTTGCCTAGAAAATTTAGTACTACTTAATTAATTCATATGCTAAAGTTTTGGTTATCAAACGGTTTGAATATATTAAGATCTGAATCCATTAAATTTGTACTAGATTATCAAATAGGACCTAAGTAATTTATATGACTTCAAAATTTCAAAAAAAAAAAAAAGTTTGAACTGGTTCAAAAGTCCATTTTTTGATCAATTTTACATGACTTTGAATTTGATTGATTCAATTAACTTTTTGAGTTTACTAGTGACTCGAACTAGCATCACGATCAGTTCTCGATTCGAGTGATCCAATTAACTTTTTGAGTTTGCTAGTGAATTGAACTAGCATCATGACCGGTTATCGATTCGAGTGATTGAGCGAGCTATTCGATCTAAGGGGGTGCTTGGTTGGAGGGTATAGGAATCAAGAATTGAATTGAACCCCAAAATTGTTGCTTGGCTAATGGGTATAGGTTTTGAAATCTTGTAATGATTCATGAAAAATCAGCCACTCTCCATACCCAAGTAGATTGGAGGGTTTTGATGAATCCCACATTTGATTCCAAAATCTTTTAAAAAATATATATTTTTGGGATTTTTTTTAAATATATACTGGCTCTGCTTCTATATATTAATATTTATTTATCTATATATATAATATTTTTATTTCAATTTTGTTTTATAATATGTATATTAATATATATTTAATATATATATATAAATATATATATATTAATATACATATTATAAAAAATTGATATAATATATATTTATTTCAATTGATATAATATATCTAATATACATATTAATATTAATATAATTTATATATATAATAAAATATAAATATTAATTGAAATATACATATTATAAAATAAAATTGA